GCATTGGCTACTCTTGCAAAGGACCCGGTTCGATTCCCAACGCCCACATGGCAGCTAACAACTGTCCTAACTCCAGTTGCAGGGAAATCTGACGCCCTCTTCTGACCTCTGCGGGTACTATATGACATGGGTGTACTTACATGCACACAGGCAATACACTCATACACATAAAAAAAATAAATAAGAGAAATGGATAGAGAAGCTCAGAAGAGAAACAGTAAAATAATTCAACAGCAGGTGTCTTCCGAGTCTGGAGACCCCTTTGAGACATGAACATATGTGGTCATCTGCTGACACAGTACTGTGGTTGATGGTCAGTAACACCCTTTACAAATGGCTGCTCAATGGTTGGTCTCAAGGTCTGAAGCTTCTCTTGTCTGGAGGAGGCCAGAGACCTCTTGTGACAGGAGAAAATTCAGTTATACAACCACAAGAGGATAGCCTGCAGCCAGAAAGTGAAAGAAAAGCAGCCCTGAAGGCATCCTCTTGATGAGCTGCTTCTATCCCAGAAGCTGCCCCTCCACACAGCTGCTCACAGGCCCTCCATGCTAAGCCTGTCTGGGTTCTAACTCAGAAAGTTCAACCTTTTCTTTTCTTCCACAACTTCCCTTTTCTGGATCCAGCCCAAATATCCTGCTTATCCTGATCCTTTGATCTCGGTCTCTCTCTCTCTCTCTCTCTCTCTCTCACTCTCTCTCTCTCTCTCTCTCCCTCCCTCCCTCCCTCCCTCCCTCCCTCCCCAGATCCTTCATCCGACCACCTGCAGTTGCTTGTCAACTTCTGCTTTTTTAAAAAATATTTTATTTATCAATTTTATTTTCTGTATATGAGTGTATTGCCTGAATGTATGCAAGTGCACCCGTGTCATGCAATGCCCACAGAGGCCAGAAGAGGGCGTCAGACACCCTGGAACTGGAGTTACTGATAGCTGTTAGCTGCCAAGTAGGTGCTGGGAATTGAACCTGGGTCCTCTGCAAGAGCAGTCAGTGCTCTTAACCACTGAGCCGTCTCTCTAGCCCCAGTTTCTGCTTTTCTTGACCTTTAACTCAAAAAGTGTGACTTTCTCTCACTGCTCCCTTCTCCATCTTGTCCACAGATGCTGTGATAGCTAGCTTGCTTGTCCTGTGTTTTCTATTTGCTCTCAAATTCCAATAAAATTGTCTTTGAGTTAAAAAAAAAATCTAAGTGGAAATTATAGAGTAAAAAAAAATCATATAATACCTAATAAAAATATTTGAAATGAAATTAACAGAAGATTGATAACAAGATGAGAGAGAGCAGGTTACAGAAAAGACTCATACCAAAGCATAAAAGAAAAGATATGCAGACATTCGGTGACAGCAGGTATGTACGTGGAGATCAAGAAGAGGAAGGGGAAGAAAACACAGCATAAAGAGATTGAAAAAACAATGCCCCTCTCCTAAATTTAGTGAAAAAGGAAATCAACCTATTGGTCCAAGATGCTCAGTGACGTCCATGTAGAATAAATGCAAAGAACATCTCTCTTAATCAAATCATAGTCAAACTGCCAAAATCAAAGATAAGAGAAAAACTTCTAAGGGGGTGGGGGTGGGGGGTGGTAATCCGTTGTAGCCAAATGTCACGAATGCCAGCAGTTCCAGCACTCAGGCTGAGGCAAAAGGATCTTGAGGTCCAAGCCAGCCTGGCCTGCACAGGGAGACACTGCCTCAAAAAAACCAAAACCAAGGCAGGGGCGGTGCTTGCCTGGCAGGCACAAAGCCCTGGGTTTGATCCCTAGCACCACACACCAGGCATGGTGGTGGCACACATCTGTAATTCCAGCATTCAGAAAGTGGAGATAGGAGGATCAGAAGTTCAAGGTCACTGGGCTGTACAGTGAGTTCACAGCCAGTCTAGGGTATATCAGACCCTGTCTCAAAAGCAAAAATAGTTGAGGAAACACACGGCTGCATCCTCAGGGTACTCAGAGCCCAGCGAGGGAGAGAACAGTAATTACTATAGCCAACATTCATTGGGTTGAACATGGCCAGAGTGTTTCATGTCTCATTTAATTTTTATAGTAGCCTGAAGTCGATCTATGTGGTAGATCCTTCTAATCTCTATTTTACAGATGAAGGAAAGTGAGCCTCAGAGGTACTAAGTGGCAGAACTAGAGTTTGACTCAAGTGTTTGAGTGCCCTTGATCCCCCCCCCCCCGAGGGCACGTGACCTCCCTGGGCCACCAACAGGCAAGTGAGGCTACTCTGGTGCTCTTCCCCGACTTGGTAATACTGGAGGAACTTTATGAAAACAGAAATATTGTAGTAACTAACATACATGGGCTGCGCCTGCTGCCAAGGGGGTGGGGTGGTCCTGAAGACTCCCTTCTCCATCCAGTAGATCCTACGGCCTCCAACTGCCTTTCTTACCAGATGGCCACAACTACAGTCACCAGCTTCAGATGCCAGTCTGTGGCTCTCAACAGGCCTTTTACAAAGAAAAGAAGGCCCCAGCTCTCTATGCCTTCCAGAAACTCCTTAGGATTTAATCCTACCTCTCTAACAGGGTCTCATCTTCTCTCCCAGGCTGCTAAAGAACTCCCTGTGGCTGGGTGTGGTGGTGCATGCCTGTAATCCCAGTACTGAGGAGGCTGAGGAACAATGATTTTAATTTTGAGGCCAATCTTGGCTACAGTGTAAGACCCTGACTCAAATAAAACCAAAACAAACTAAAGTAGAACGCAAGAGGTCTGTATAATTGCTCTTGCCTTGGGGTCTTTCCCAGTTACTGCTGTGGTCTAACAAATGAAGCCAAAACTCAGTAGCCTACAACAACTATTTCATTAAGCTGTGGGCCAGGAATTTGGATGTGGAACAGTGGGAGGGAGGGCTTCTCTCCCTCACATTCAGGACCCCAACAGGAAGACTCTACAGCTAAGAGAAAAACACAGGTGGGGGGTAACTCAGTAGCCAGGGGTTGGAACCATCTGGAGGCATCTTTCCTCACATGCCAGGGGCTGATGCTGTTTGTCATGAGCAGTGACTCCTGGGTTTCTGAGGCTCTGACTTGCTCAAAGCTCCAGGAGATGCTGTTCCACAGTGCCTGTTCCATGCTCCACAGTGAATAAGGGCAGAAGTTACACTGTATGCAACTGCCTGCTCTCTTCCAGCCTCATAAGTCAGGTAGTTCCCCTTTACTGCACGCTACTGGTGCTACTGTGCAAATCACCACCCACATGGATCCACAGCGACAGGGCACGGACACCACCTCTCAATGGGAGGAATGTCATGGTCTCCTTGTAGCCTGGGGGATGTTGTGGTCAACTGCCTCAGGGTCTTTACCCACTCCTTCCTGCCCAAACTGTCCCCTCACCACCTGGCCACCTGCTGGCTCTGAGTCACCTATGGCTTGAGTTTAGGTACTAGTTCACCAGCAAGCTAGGCCTAGCTGCCATGCTCAAGCTCAACCAGGTCTCCCTGAGATGAGCCTCGAGCACCTAGCACTTCTCATACCCAACACTTACTTAGTCTGTCTCCCAGCCCAAGTGCTGAGTGTCAGAGGACAGGGGCCTTGGCTAACAGTAGCTTCTCCACAAACACTTCCCAGAAGTGAGAGGGAAGAGAAAGGGAAAGGAAGACATTGCAACCTTTCAATGTTGGTTTCAGGTTGCAGAATATGGTGACTTCTTCCCACCAAAGTTGCAGCTGGAAGAGAGGTGAGCCCCCAACCATGTGCTGCTGCTGGTGATTCTGAGCCTTGGCCTGTGTGGCCCCCTTGCATCTCCAAGGACCCCTCCAGGCCCTTTGGAGAACACAGAGTGGGTGGTAACTTCAGTCTAGGTAGTCTATCTGGCTGACCATCCAGGCCAACTCCCTGGCTAATGGTGTCTCATAAGGTCTATAGTCTCTTCTAAGAAGGGAAGGGAATGACAGAAAGCAGGAGAAGCTGGGTAGGTTGAGGAGGGGCTAAGGCAAGAAGAAAACAGAAAGATGGCAGTCCTGAGGCAGGGAACCACAGAAGCTCCATTTTTCAGGGACTGGGAACAAGCACCTTGGTGCCTTGGTATGGGAGAGTCCCACTGGAGCCCTCCTAGTTTGGACTCAAACATTGCCACCATTGCCACTAAACCTTTTTTAAGAAAGAAGCATCATCTCTACTACTTCCCATACTGTAGTCCAAAGAGGGGGTGAACTCATGCTGTGGGGTGCCTCAGGGCTTGCACCCCTGCAGAGACTCCAGTAGCAGGCCTGGCCCCCCTCTGACCAGCCCCGCAGGCCAGTGTATCTGGAGGACACCTGCTTGGTGCAGCAACGCTACTGTTCCCTTTTTTGAGCCTGGATATTCCCAAGGGGGACTCCGCACTGACGACTCTCAGCATTGTTCTTTGAACAGTTCCTCAAGTCACAGCTGAGAACAGAGGCTAGCAGGGTCACACAGCCTCTGCCCACAGAGGTCACCTGCCTACCTAGGCCACACCACACTTGATCCTGTACAAGGTCTTTCCTGGGTGACCCCAGAGAGCATCACTGAGCCCTGTTGGCACGTGGTTCACTGGTGCTGCAGGGAAGGAAGCCCAAGAAAGGTGACTCAAGTAGTTAGGGACAGCTTTCCTCCAGTGTGGCCCAACCCCAGCCCCGGTAGCTTCACTGTTCTAAGTCACTGCTGGCCTTCTGCAGCAGGACGATGTGGTTTGGAAGGGAGTGTAGCCTCTGGAGAAGGGCACTGAGGGGCATACCAGGGCAGCACACAGGGCAAGGGCCAGATGGACTTGCTGGACTCTCCCAAGCAGCAGCACTCACAGCTGCAGCTGATCAAAACCCATCACCTGAGTCCAAGGGGAAGTGCTCAGCCTGTGCAGGGTGTCCCAGGAGCGGCGGGCTTCGCGGAGCTGGGAGCTAGCGGAGCGAGCCAGGAGGAGAGCTGGCCAGGCTGCCCTTGCCAAGGAAGGAGGGGGCCCGCCAAAGCGGGCCTGCAGGAGGGGCAGGGCCAGCTGGGGCCGGAGGTAGAGTGACATCACCCGGCGGCCCGCCCCTGTCTGGGGCTGAGGGGAGGCCCGGAGCCTTTCTGGGGCCTGGGGGATCCTCTTGCACTGGTGGGTGGAGAGAAGCGCCTGCAGCCAACCAGGGTCAGCCTGTGCTCACAGTTTCCTCTGGCGGCATGTAAAGGCTCCACAAAGGAGCTGGAAGTTCAACTGAGGCTGCTGCTGTCGGCCTGGGGAAGGACCCCGAGCCCTGAGTGGTGCTGCCTGAGACTGGACCTGCAAAGCATGCACTGAGGCTGCTGCCGGCCCCGCTGTGAGGGGGAGCAGGGTGGGAGCGGCCCCAGCGTCACCCCAGCCAGCCCCATCCCGGTGGATCGCTGAGAACACAGCCCGCTCAGGAGAGGCCGGTGAGGCAGGGCTGCTCAGCCAGTCTGGCCTGCGACTCTGGACCCCTCCTGGAGGCCATGGCCGGGCTGCCCCGCTAATGGCATGGTGAAGCATGTGAGGTGCTGCTCCAGAGCCAAGCAGGAAGAAGAGGTAAGGGACCAGCTCTCAATCTGCAGCAGCCGGGGCAGGGGGCTCGAGGTCGCAGCTGGCCCCTGAGGCCAAGGGCGAGCAACCCCGACTCGTCCAGTTGGGGGTGTGAAGCTGGCTCCCACGGGGGTCATCCCCTGCTTTCACTTGGAGCCAAACCAAGGATCTGACCAGGCAAGACTGTGAACTCTTGGACTCTTGGACCAGGTGACGTTTGGGGTACAAGATCATGGGGCTGGGATGCTGAGGATATCATTGGTGAGCCCCACTCTCTCTTACAGACAAAGAGCCTTTGGGGTGAAGGGGGCGGCTCCTGGGCGGCAGGCTGGGTGTGTGCGTGTGCGTAGGTGTGTACTTGAGAGGGCAGCGGGCTGAAAGCAGCAGGGTAGCAGAGGACTTGGCACATTGTGCTTCGGCTTCGGGCTCCTGCGCACCCACTGCTGAGAGTGTGGGAAGGCAGAAGCAGAGCCGAATGTAGGCCTGAGGCAGTGGGGGGCCCTGAGGGTCCTGTTCAGCAAGTACCCCAGGGCCAGGCAGCCCCTGCTCATGTCCTTCCTGCTAGCCAGGAGCATAAGCATGCTGCGAGGGACAGGACGTATCACCCACAAGTTTCTGCCAGTGGGACTGGGGCAAAGTGCTACCTGACTTTCTCTCCATGCCCAAGGATGGTGCCCAGGTGCCCACCAGCAGGACATGGCTGAGAAACAGGGGATGCCAGGCTTTCCTGGCAGCTCAGTGAGAGGACGCTGCAGGCACCACAGAGTCCCTTGAAAGCGCTCAGCATTAGATAACATTTCCAAACAAATTCTTCGCTGATCCTTCCCCTCTCCCTGTGATATGTGTGTCACGGGTCAGCTATTGCCTCTGCTGTGGGATTAGGAGAGTTCCCAGAGACCAGTGTGGTTACTCAGAAAAGGATCCCTTTTCACAAGGGCTCTGAGGAAAGTTGAAACGCCACTTCCGAAGCTAGCCAAATGTGCTCCACATGGATTCTTCTAAGTGCAGGCAGAGTAGGGTAGTGCTCATGAGCTGGCTTCAAGTCCGAGCTCTTCTGAGTATTAGCCCAGAGGCTCTGGCAGATCACTTAGCTTTTCTAAGCCTCAGTTTCCTGATTTGTAAATGGATAATAGTGCCCAGCTCAGTAAGAGCTGAACAGGCACCTGCAGCTACCCTATAACACACATACCTACCATTTCCATCTTATAGGTAAGGGATCTGAGGGAGGGATCAAGTGCCATGCAGCTAGACAGTGCAGCCCAGTGGTGTGACTCCAGGGCCACTCTGAGTCACAGGGACCCCAGTTCTTTTCTTGTTCTGGGAGACATCCTGCTAAGGTTTCAGAAAACCCCCAAAGGCAGAGCCATTGCTGCAGCAGCCACCACTGCCCACACTGGGGGCCCTCCAGGAGTCTAGGGTAGGGGAGGCTTTATATCTGGGTTTGGGTTTGGGGCCACTCACAGCATTTCTGCATCCATAAGTCCACACTAAGGTACAAATGGACCAAAACTTCTGACACCAACTTCACAGGCGGAGCCAAGCTCTGCGTGCTACTCTTCTGCCTGCTGGCGTCTCTGCCAGAACCACAGGGGATGGGAAAATGGAGCCTCCCTGGTCCTACAGAGGGACGTTACAGAGGGGCAAGCAGAGAACAGCCTGGCCACAGTGATGGAGTTGCTACCACACCAGACTGGTGCATCTGAGCCTAGGGGCAGCAACTTTTCCCCGTGGCACCAGAGTCCCAGTGGGTTCCTGATCTCTCAGAGGCTTTTGGAAAGCAGTGGTGAAATATGTGCTTCCAGTCCAGGCCTCTGGGGCTGATGAAGCGGTACGCTTTCTGCTGCAGTCTGGACTTGGTGGCTCCCTGGCCTCTCCATGTAGCTCAGGCTGAGCAGCTCTGACTGACTTCATGAGCCTGGCTGGCACAAATGGGCTATGACTCAGTAAAGGCAGTTTCGGTGGAACAGATATATGTGGGCAGTATGTATGGTCCCAGAGGGCGCTACCCAGCATGGCAGAGCAGGGACTCCATGATGGTTTATAAAGTGCCCTAGGCTGAGTGAGCGGGCCCTTTACCTCATTTCATCCTAATCCTCACCCTAGGAAGTAGGTTCTGGTTTTAGCATCTCGCCTTACAGATGGGAAAAATAAAGGCTCAGAAAGATTAACTTGCTCAAAGTCACATAGTTAAGTGATTATGCAGAACTTTCCAACCCAGGACTATCACTCCTAAGGCCATGCCTTCTGTTGTATGCCACTGATTTATGCAAGGTGCTTCAACTTCTCTTACCCTGATGCTGTTACTGGGTAGCCACCCTGTGTCCCTGGCAGTCAAGTCCACCTTTGCTGCTCTACTGAATGTTGGCCCTGGCCCACCTGAGAACAGAGTGCTTTCCTGGATTCTATGCCTACTTACTCTCTGTGGAGTCCACATCTGCAGCAATGGTTGCTACACCTCTTACAAAAGAGTCTTGGCAGTTACACAGCGTACCCGAGTAACAAAGCTGACCTCAGACTCCAATATGCCACATGGTCCCTATACCAGGAACCCTGACACCAGGATGTGGGAGCAGTGCCTTGGGGAAACACTCGTCCACATGACTGAGATCCGCCTGTGTATTTTCTCCATCACTACTCAGAGACTCCTTTAGAGTCACTGAGTTGAAGCTCACTATCTACCCTGCACCACACTCAAGCAGTTCTGAGACAGCATCAGGGAGTTGGCAACCGGCAGCTACAACAGAACAAACAAAACAGACAGGAGCTCCGCCCAGGGCAGGTACATTCAGCCTCTGGCCTCTCTGAATCACAGCCCACTTAATCTGGAATGTTCTCAACTCACAGCACATGGTGGAGCTCTGCTGTGAGGAGCCTATAATGCAGCAGGACAAGTCAGGCTGATGGTAAATAATCCCACAAATGCCCAATGAGTTGCGTGAGTCACAAAGAAGAGATCCTGGGAGCTGAGATGGTCCCTAAGATGGGTGATTCTGTCCTTTTTCAGAAGTGGAAACTGAGGCTAGGAACATGGTACCTCTTCCATAGCCTCTCCATCAGTGGGCTAACGGGCAAGGATTCTAGTCCTGACTTGTGCCATTTCAGCCCAACCCGTGGTCGCCTGACACAACAACATGGCAGAAGTCTCCAGGCTTTCGGGGGTAGTTTCTATGACAAAACTGTATCTTGCCCATGGACTGTAAGTCTGATGACTGATTTAATAACAGCTTGGGGGGGCGGTTAAAAGTTACAGAGTCCTGTTCCATGTACACATCACTGTGACACACATTCTAATCATAGGAATGCTAAGATGCTGGGTGAGGAGCCAGGCCTCTGACAACTGAGCCATTGTGTTAGGTCCATTCCCAGGTCAAATCAGCCTATCTTAGGGCCAGCCGCCCCAGAGGCTCAGCCTCTTCTGTTACTCAGCCCTTAGGAAAGGAGGGCTGAGACCACCATGGAAAAGCCTAGAAGGAACTCAGTTCTTAACTCCCAGAGATGCCTTATTCCCAGAATGCCAAAGCCCTGGCAGATGTGTTCTATTCCAACCTCTGCTAGAGAAGGCTGTATCTACCTTAGTTCCTGCTGAACCTCCCAAACTCATTTCAGCCAGGAGAGAAGAGATCTGTGGGATGGATGAGTCCACGAGCATTAGGGCAAGCTTCGGGTACAGCTCTAGATCAAGTGGGCCCATTTACCCTGAGGAACATACCATTCCCCTCTGTGCTGTTCAGCCAAGGTCTCACCAGGGGCGTCTCCCCCTGCCCTGGCTGGATACTCGTGCCCTGAGCTACCCTATCTGGTGTTGTCACCTGCTTTAGGAATGTCTACTACCGTGGGCCCCTTGAGCACAGGGACCTCATCCTTTCTTTTCCTGCTCTGTCTCTGGTCCCTGGCATAGAGGCTGGCCAGGAAAATGTGTGGAAGGAATGGAGTCCTCAACTTCCTGCTTAGTTGTCCAGGTACCATCCTAGGGAGTGGGCATTCCAAAGGGACTCACCCTCTCAAGAAGCTTGGGGTTTGGGTCAGTCAAGCAACAACCAGTGCAGTCTGAGCTCTGGGTGCTGGTTGGAGGCAGCTACAGCTGCTCTTGCAAGCTGGAGGATGGAGGGGACTTCACTGAGAATGGATGTCTTTCCAGAGAGGTGACCTTAAGAGGCACCTTAGAAAGGAAGACAGGTACACACCAGGCAGAAATTGTAGAAGATTCTTGAAGCATAAAGTATATGAAGGCAGGAGGCATGATGACACCGGCTGTTTGTAAGGAGGATGCTAACTGAATTCCATTTGAGTTTTAGGCAGGAAGCCCTTGACATGGGTGTGGGGTGGACCAAGGGGTAGTGTGAAGTATAGCTCTCTGGGTAGGGTGTCGGCCTAGCACGTCAAAGGATATGGGTTTGATTCCTCAGCACCTCCTAAAACGGGGACACTGGCACACAGGTCTATTGTCCCAGCAGGAGAATAAGGAGTTGCAAGGTCATCTGAGCCTCAGACAGTTCCTGGCCCACTTGGGCTACATGAGACCCTGTCTCAAATCCAAGCCTCAGAGAACGACTTAGAAGTGTGTGGATAAGAAAGCTGGCTCTGAAGCCAGGCATGGTGGCGCACGCCTTTAATCCCAGCACTGGGGGAGGCAGAGGCAGGTGGATTTCTGTGAGTTCAAGGCCAGCCTGGTCTACATAGTGAGTTCCAGGTCAGGTCAGCTGGGGCTACAGGGAAACCCTGTCTCAAAAAAAAAAAAAAAAAAAAAAAGAAAGAAAAGAAAGCTGGCTTTGAGGCCAGCACATGACTCCATCCTTCTGCTCTATGTGCTCACCTTTGAAATGGGATAATAACAGAGCATCTTGGATCTGGGGATGGGGGGAGGTACAGAAAGTTCTTGTCCTCAAGGGACGAGCCCATCTCTGTAGGCTGGGATGACCCTGTTCGGATGGGCCCAGAATAGCTCTAAGCAATGCCCAGGTTTCCCAGGAAGCCACCCTGTGGTGGTAGTGTGCATCCCGTCTCTG